GTCACCCTCTTATATATATACCAGACTACCATATGTCTAGTAATCTCCCGACAATTCCCGAAGGTTCGAGAGAACGAGTGGCGTGACACTAGTCACGTGACCTCGCTGACGCAACAGTACTATTATATTTATATAGATTTAAACAACTCTGTACAGCAACAGTATATAAATTATTTCAATCAATGGTAATCATATATGTATATGTATGCAATATTGAAATAACATGCTATCATGCTCAATTCTTCTGGGGTGCTTTTCCATAAGTAACTTACATACAGTTTGAATGTTGATAGCAGTGTCATACTTATTATGTATTAAAGCTAGAGCACTCAGTTTTTTTTCGGTTTGTGACTTTGTGTACACCTCAGAAAATTATTTAACCAACGGAGTGCAGATGCCGAACATTCACATGAACTTAGTGGCAGTGTGGCAAAGAGTTTCAGTAACATAAAGATATTTAGTACACTGAAGCACGCTTTTAAGCAGTCAGCCAATATCTAGGACCTGTCGTGGAGATGTGTAGAAAGCCATTTTGTCTTCCATCGATGAAGTTCTTTATCAAAAATATCAGGATTTGGCAAATCTTCTCTGTAAAAGTCTATAGCCTGTTTGAACTCAGATATAGAAAACTCTTGTGTGAGTTTTGATGGTATAAGTTTCTAAATTGACGATGCTTACTTTACATGTGCATTAATTCTGAAGGAATGATTACTGATAATGTGGTAAAAAAAGGAATGGTTACTGTATTCTTAAAATAATCCTCCAAGGAACTGTATTCTGCATTGCACGTTGGGTTTGTCGTTGACTCACTCGTGTCATGCTACCATTAATATTAGATTTGTTTACAATATTACTGCTTTGCTTGAAGATACGTTGTGAATAATGATTTATGTTCATTCTGTAAAGTCAGTTCTTTACAGCATTGTTCTAATAGGGAAACACCAGAAACAAAAATAGGGAGTTCGATCAAACCCCCTCTCCCTGCGTTCGTGTGTGGCTTACAAGATGCTGTATCAAACTAAAACATTGAACTTTGATATCGATTTTACACAGAAGGAAAACTTCGTCATTTTGCAGTAAAGCACATAATGGAGCTAATAACACCCTTCGCTGGAAAAAATGTGGCGAAAGTTTTGATTCTATTGCAATAATAACTTTCTTTAACTTGTTATTGTATTCCAATGCTAAGCAATAATTGGTCTGCATCATTGCTTCATTGTATAAAATAATAGAGCACATTTTCTTTATTACTGAAATGTTGGAGGTAATTATACTACTTGCTTTATGAATAATATTAAATGATTCATTTTCACATGATTTTCGATTTCTTAAGTTTCTCGTCAAAGGATCATCTGTTCCGAAAACATCTCTGATATCATACACGTTTTCTGTATTCTTTGTCATCATCAACACTATCTTCAATCAAGGCCAAAACGTCATTATCAGTAAAATTAATATTGTCATTTTCATCACGTACAACTTCATCATTGATATGCACAATATCCCCATTGTAATTTGGCCGTGATCGTTTTCTTCTACCATTTGTGGCATTATAAATATTTGCCAATATACTTTTTGACTGCTCTCCTCTCCCCCTACACTCACTTCGCCAACTCAGTTTAACTAAGCATTTTGAAATCTAGAGTTCTTAAGGTAAAGATAAAGGTTCCATTTTGAACTAGAATTGGAATTTTCTCGACAGTAGTTGGAGCAGTCGTCAGGACTTTCGGTCTATCGGTTTGGAGCAACCAGTAGTTTATTGAAGCTGGAAATAGGCTAAATTGTAATATATTGGCCAATGATACTGTTACGTCTCCGTTTGTTAATTGATTTTCCATAACTTCGTTCCGACGAAACTTAAGCGACACAAGTCTTTACTTAATAAAACTGG